GAGTGTGGATCAAAAGGTACAGTCCATCATTTTACCCCGTTCCTCGTGTTGGACATCGGCTCACATTTCAACAGTACTTCACATCAGAACAGCTTGAGGATTTGGAAGGTGTGCTTTGGAAGAGCTATTTCGCATAGTCGTCGCGACATGGCTCAAGTATGCAACGTGCATGCGTGTGTTGGTTCAGTTTAGGACATGGGCAATCATAAAAGGCATAGTGACGGAATGATATCCACCCAGGGAAGCGGGATTGCATGGCCCTGATAGACGGGCCTAGGATAAACAGTGTGCTTGTAGACTTTTGTAGTTCACATCCATCCTTTGATCGTACATATTGACTACCTCGACCTGTTTGGCTTCGGAAGCTATTCAATGAGTTGCTTCAGTGAGAGCTTTTGCAGTCGTGTCGCAGGGCCTTCACCAGCTGGATACCGTGTACGAATGCCTCGAGTCACGACATCTGTCGGGAGACTAAACTTTATTTTGAGCACGTTTAATGCGACGAACTCAGCCTAAGCGACGCGGCGTTCTGGAACACTCTGACACGCCTTGTTCCAAGGGTCTTAATTGTAGAACCTAAATCGTTCTTCAGCATTGCGATGTGAGGAATGGCGCGCGGTAGCAGGGACAGGATGCTCGCTGTCGCCGTTTCGGAGTCTCAGGCCCTGACATCTGAGACGTCCCGATGGGGCGGTTCACCGTCCTCGCGCATGACTGACTCGAGGTCAGGCCTGGGCTTGACTTCAGCTAGTCAGCTAGTCGCCTTACATCGCCTTGACCTTTTTGTGGCATGGAAAGGTGTATATAAACTGGACGAACCACGTTGTCATGTTCTGGGCTTGTTCGTCTTAATTGTTAAATCATCACAGCTTGTGCAACGTATAAACTTCACCATACCATCCAGCCGTAAGCCTATCAAGAACACTACATACCCATTCATCCCACCAAACGAAACCGCCAAGATGAAGACCACAGTCGCAACACTCGTTCTCTTCGTGACCATGGGTCTGAGCGCCAAGACGACCTCCCTTTGCCGAGACGTAGGCAACAAGGTGATTGAGGACAATGGAGTATGTTCTACGGCCGGAGGCGCTCCTCTTGGCAAGGGAGTAAGTTGACCCTAAAGATACCATGAACTTCTCTCAAGGGATAATGACGTACTGACGAGGCAAAAGATTTGTTGTTTTGACCAGTCCAACGCTCTCGTTAAGTCGAGGTTCGATATTGCGTGTGATGATAAGTTGGGCACGGTTCAGTCTACTGGGGAGGCTTGCGAGGCCTAGGTGGTGTGAGGCGGAATCATTTGGTCATTTTGAGTCATCTAGCATTGCCTAGCGTCATTATAGCGAGTCGATTGTCAATAAATGCCTGCATTCGAGGGTTCGGAACTTGTGAACTCGTGGTTCATCGTCCCAGTGCCAGAGAGTTAGCTGCTGTACACATGTGTACTGGCGGTCTTCTCTCCAGTCTGGGAATTTACCTAAGGGTTCAACCAGGGTACTCTAATATCAAGCGCTGAACGGAAGAGCTTAACTGGGCTTTCAGAAAGCGATTCCGGCCGTTGTAGATTTGAAGTTCGGTGCTAATACCTTCACCTACCTTACCTTGAGCCACATGCTGTGGACAACTAGACGGTGCCAAGGCCTGTTATCAACGCATCGAGGAGTGGCGATATCGACACAGAGGCCGCGAGCCCAGGATCACAAGCAGTCAAATTCCTTAAGAGCACCATCGCTGCACGACACATGTAAACATCTTAATGTCGTTTTTCATACTTCTTGGTAGCTGTTCATCGGGTTTGCTGGGGATTCACATCGGATGAGTCTAGACTACAGCCTGCGGGGATAAGACGGAGACGACACACGACAATGGCACGTCGAATGCATTGCGCCATCTGAACTATCTTTTGCGTTTGACGTGGAGGGGTTCTGGCGCAATTGGGACCAGAGAGAGGGTACTTGCCTTGTCGGAGACGTTTAAGTGTACGAAGGCACAAGATATTCAATGCTGATGCGTTGCTTCGTGACATTGAAGCTGGAAAATATATCCTTGCCGGCTACTGCAGCCTGCTAAAGATTCCTCGTCCCAGTATGAAAGCGTTCACTGCATTTATGGCCGTGAGTGGTCTTGTGCCATCAATAGCAGCTGACTGGCAATTTCGCTCCCGACCTGACCTCGCTCCTCCGAGGCTTAACACCACCATCCCAGCTCGAGACTCGGTAGAAGAGGGGTACATTTTCGTCGCCCCCTATGCCGGCTTTGAGGATGGCAACAGCGGACCGAATCAACCTGGAGCTTACATCTTCCGTGATGACGGGGAACTCGTATGGTCTAGTATTGGCTACTACGCCGGCTGGGTTGCCAACTTTCGCCCTGATACTTGGAACGGGAAACAATATCTACGCGGTTTCCAAGGCCTCCTTGATGGGCATCACGGGCGCATGTTTGGATATCATACTCTTATAGGTTCTGATTACGAAGTTGCCAAGGTGGTGCGAGTCGGGTCGCACAAGTTGGTTTCGGGCCATGAGTTCCGCCTGGTCGATGGTAAGACGGCTTTGATAGAGACACCTATCCCTAGGCCCGTATCTCTCAAGCCATGGGGAGGAAGTCAAGAACAGAACTGGATCATTTCGGGTGGATTTCAAGGTATGTTGCTCATGTGTTCTCGAACTCGGCGGAGGTGTTCGAAGGCTGATTGGGATGACAGAGATTGACATTGAGACGGGCGAGGTCGTATTCGAATGGGAAAGTCTTGACCACGTTGACCCGAAGTGTAAGTCATCAGACAGACAGCATGAATCTTGCGAAAATTCCCATTTAACGCCTCATAGACAGCGCATTCGCGCTTGACTTTGGCGAAGGCCTCCCAGGAGGCGGTAAAACCGAGGCTGATGGTTGGAATTACTTCCACGTCAACAGTGTTGACAAAGATGATGAGGGCAACTACCTTGTCTCAGCACGCAACACCGCGGCCGTTTTCAAGATCAATGGCACAAACGGCGAAATCATCTGGCAACTTGGGGGGTTCCACGGAGGTTCTTCCTTTACCCTTCCCAAGGAAGATGTCTTTGGCTACCAGCATCACGCACGGTTCCGCAGTCGCTCGGCTGATGGAACTATCGAGGTAATTTCGCTCTTTGATAACGGCGCACACTCTGCATCGGTCAAGACGAACCCATTCTCGCGCGGCCGGATCTACCAACTCAACCACACCGACGGCACAGCTAAAGCTCTGAAAACATACGACGCTCCGGATGGATTATCGGCCCGTACCCAAGGAAACTTACAGTTGCTTTCCAATGGAAATGCTTTCATCAACTGGGGCCAAGCGGGCGCGGTAACGGAGTACAGCAATGATGGTGACGTCTTGTTTCACGCCTACCTCGACTCAAATCCCGAGGGTCACTTGGTCCAAAGTTATCGCGGATTCCGATTCAATTGGACGGGCACGCCCACAGAGGAGCCGGCTATAGTTGCCTTTAGAGGTAAGGGCTCTGTCGTCAACGTATACGTGTCGTGGAATGGAGATACTGAAGCAGCATCGTGGCGATTCTCCTCTAGGAGTGCGGCGAAGAAGAGCCTTCGCCTACTAGGAGAAACCAAACGAGACGGCTTTGAAACACACTTTCAATTCTCGAGGGTTGGTGATGAAGAAGACTCGTTGGTTTTCGCTCAAGCTCTCAGTGACAGGGACAAGGTCCTCAGGCAGACTCGGGAAATAACGATCTCAAGGAATGAGTTACGGTCCCTCCTTTATCGGTTCAGTGGTCAGAGGAGCTTTGAGCTTGTCTTCCAAGGTCTTTCAAAGCGAGTTAGAGTACATCCGATAGAGGCTGAATGCCATCGATGACGGCAAACACGGCCAGACTTGATGTTTACCGGCAGATCAGTTGCCAAGAATGATTCTTGCAACTCTTTCGTTGCATGAGAGAAAGCAAAAGGTGACTACCCATTTGATTTAGAAACGTAAAGATCAAGCATGCATTTTTGCTACTAATGGCATCTCCTCCCGCCAAGGCATTGGCGAAAACAACGTATCATGTCGGGTTTTCAAGTGCGGTCCGAGTCGATTGCGATGTTCTTGGTCCAAACATCTCTCGTGTAAATGAGTGGAGATCAGGATTTAGATCCATGAGGGTTTGGACTGCGGCTCTACTGGGCGTGGTCATCATACAGCAGCCAAGTCGTGCTTTCAGCCAGATTCTCGTCCAAATCAGGCGGTTCGGTCAACTCCCGACTACCAAGAGGTCTTGGTTTCTTGGACATCTTGGCTTGCCAAACCAACCCAGTCCTCTAATCAAGCCAGTATCGTGAAAACATGTCTATACACCCCACAATAGGCCCATCACTTGCCAGTTTCTCGTCTTCGTTTAGCATCAGACCTTGTCACATTACCCGAATCTTCCCGAAATATCTCGGGGCCAAGAAAGTTCAGCCGGAGGCCGGCTCACGTATCGAGAACTAAAGACCTTCATATTGATCTTGGGGACTTCGTGTGAGATGCATGCCGAGTGGCCAAGCCTATTTCGACTTCACCGCGGAGACTCCACCGTGATAAGCCGCTATCTTGCATGATCCCCTGCCTGCTTCTTGTTGATAGCAATCATTGCCGTGGGCCTCCGAGACACAGATTTGGATGATAACACACGCAAATCTGTAATTTCGTTGAAGGAGGGGGGGGGGGGGGACTATCGAGTCCTTTGCCTGAACGTTCACCTATGGGTTCTCTGGACCTGGGGGAGACCCGCCAGAAATCAGCTTGACTGGAGTATGGAGGCGGGGTCTGGGGAAGCTCCATTCTGGATGGCGGAGAAGCATGGGGAAGTGAAGCACAATATGGACATCGGAGATAGGCCCTAATAACCAAATTACGGCAGCTCAACGAGTATAAATCTAACAGTGAGGGACTCCGAAATATAAAGAGAGGCGTCTCCCCTAACCTTTCATCGATACTGTCTGCGCTATACAGCTGTTACTCATCGAGATCATTCATAATCATGGCCAATGAAGAGAGGTCCACAGCCCAGTCAGGCATCGGCACGCCCCCTCCCATTGGAAACGACAACGCCGCTACGGATCATGTCACCAAGAACCCCTCTCTAATGGAGGCTAACGAATCCAATGGTAAAGGCGACCTTCTACCTACCCCCGAAGAACAGATCGAGGCTCTTGGTATCGCCAACTGGCGTGATCTCGAAAAGCAGGTCGTCAAGCGTCTTGACATGACCCTCATGCCATGCTTATGGGTACTCTATCTTTTCAACTATCTAGACCGAGCTTCTATTGCGTAAGTCACTGCCTAAATGAGATGAGAAAGGCCAGTCTGTACTTTTGCTGATTCAACGTAACCGCTTCAGACAAGCTCGCCTTAGTAGCCTGGATGAAGATCTCAATCTTGAAGGCTACCAGTACGGGACTGCAGTATCGATTCTTAGTGTCGGGTGAGCGAATCAACCATTAATTCTACTTTCGTTCATGTCGACCTCTGACTTTGGAATGAAAGATACGTCCTCGGTCAAATACCGTCCAATATGATCATTGGAAAAGTGCGACCCAGTCTCTATCTTTGCTGTATGGCTTTGGTCTGGTCTAGTGTCTCGGCAGCAACCTGTGGAGTCAAGAATTACCAGGGACTCATTGCCGTCAGATTCTTCCTCGGCGTGGTCGAAGCACCTCTGTTCCCAGGTGTACGTTATAACCCAAAATCCGTCCACCTTCGTCCCTTAAGCATTCTTCTAACAGGTCTCTAGGCTATCTACGTCATGTCTTGCTGGTACACCCGAAAGGAAATGGCGTTGCGCTGCGCACTATTGTACACTGGCCAAACACTTGCTTTCTGCACCGCTGGTCTCATTGCAGCAGCCGTATTTGGAACCTTGGAAGGCAAGTATGGCTTGGCAGGCTGGCAATGGCTGTTCATCGTTTTGGCGTCAACTGGTGCAGGCCTTGCCATGATTGCTCTCTTCATTCTCCCAGATTACCCCGATTCCAATACTGGTAGCGCCCGCTGGTCTATGACGGAGGACATGCGCAAATTGGCTGCTGCTCGCATCCTTGCCGATCGTGTGTCAACTTCGGAAGCCACAGCTGGCGTTTGGGCTGGCCTGAAGATGAGCATTTTCGACTACAAAATGTGGCTGCTTGTCGGCATGAACATCGGAATCTCAGCTGCATATGGTTTCTCAAACTTCTTCCCATCCATCGTACGGGGATTTGGCTACAACAACACAATTACTCTAGTTCTTACTGCTCCGCCTTATATCTTTGCGGCTCTTGGTTCTCTCGTGAACGCATGGCACTCTGATCGGCAGAAGGAGCGCGGGTACCATTTTGCCGGCCCCATAGCTTTTGGTTGTATCGGCTACATCATATGCCTGGCTACCGAGAGCAAGACAGCACGATACGCTGCTTCTTTTGTGTATGTTGGGGGCATGTACTTTGCAAACCCCCTCATATCAACATGGACATCCAACACCATGGGTAGGACGCCAGAGAAGCGAGCCATCTCCGTCGCACTAGTCAACGTGCTTGGTCAGATTGGTAACCTGATCGCTCCCTACTTCTTCGTTGACTCGGATGAGCCGCGCTACCGGCTTGCCTTCATCATGATGATGGTTATGGGCCTGATTGCGTGTACGAGTGCCATAAGCCTGAAGTTCTACCTTTACAAAGCGAATCAGAGATTGTACCGGGAGGCCGTTCGCAACGGAAGCGTGTATAATCCTTACGTTATGTAAGAAGAGGACGTGGTTGTCACACTTACATATGTCACGAGAGTTTCGCGGAGAGATAGCTTTGCATAACGTCTGACCTCAAATACCGAGATATTCACAGGTCCAATGCTGATAATAGCACACACGACAAATGAGTGACTAATGCAATACTTCGCTCCCTTCTCCTCTCTATTTCTGCCAAGTCGTCAAGCCACGGTCAATGACTATGTGCTATTGTCTGTCCTTGCACCTAACCAGTAAAGGCACTTTCTGCCAGATCAGGTACGTCTTTTGTCTCAAAGTCCATTTCTTTGATTCCTCCGTCAGTTCTAGATCAAAATTCCAAATCAACTTGGCGAATATTATGCGCAGCTCTGCATAGGCCATGCTAGGGAACATGGTTAGAAAGCACATGGGACGAAAGTAATGCTGTCTTACCTCTTGCCTATACAGTTTCTAGGACCATAAGAAAACGGCTGACTCGCAGACTTATCGTCGTTGGCAAACATACATATGTCGCTCTTTTCTAGCCATCGCTCTGGAATGAACTCCCTTGAATTAGTCCAATTCTGTTCCGAGTGACCAGCGGAAAGCTGATGAACGCCAACTGCCGTCTACAATAAGAATGTTAGCGGCTTGCTTCTATCACCTTCATGGACAATTCGTCGCGGATCAGACTCACGCCCCCAGGAACCCATTTCCCATCAATCTCCTCACCGCTTCCAGGCACAAATCTCGGCAGAGCGCTTGGGCTGGGGGGATATATCCTCAGCCCTTCTTCGATGACTGCCTTAAGATACTTCAACTCCCCTGTCGATGCCATTGAGATCTCATCTTCGGTCTGGAATGCGGTTCTGATCTCTTCCGATAGTGCCGTGTACGTCTTTGGATTGCTACACAAGTAGAAGGTGATGCCAGAAAGTGCAGTAGCTGTCGTGCCACTGCCTGCGACAATGAAAGCTGACGCCATCCTGACCAGATCGGCATTGCTGAAGTCAGCTTGTGGGTTTTTTAAGATGTAACTCATAAAATCTCTTTTGTTATCGGATTGTTGAAGTCGGCGTTTGACTTTGCCGGCAGTCAACTCGCCATGTCTCTTCAGAGCCAGCTTTTGGGCCTTTGGGGCGAGCCATTCTAGCCAGGCTTCAAGTCCATAGTAGATAGCGAACTGGTATCGGACAATTCCCTGCGCTCGAGCACCAATGACTTGCAACCATGGTTGGGATGCATCGTCTAGACACCCAGCCGCCTGTCCAAATGCCAGGTCGCTAATGATGTCAAAGGCAGCAAGGCTAAACCATTTGACCATGTCCTGAGGAGCTCCGTTCTCGCTAGAGAATCGTAGTTGTTTCATCAATTTCCCTGCGTAAAGCTGGAGGATATCCTCCTGCTCTCTTAGTGCACGGTCGCTGAAGGCTGGCAAAACTGCCTTACGAAGTCGAGAGTGAGGCTCCTGCTCGGCCGTCACGATGCCGCCATTGCGAATCGCTGGGTTAGTCACACTAGGCCCAGCGATCCCCCTTCCGTCAAAACATTTCGCAAACTCTGGTGACCTCTGACCATATATCTTTTTCCAGGCCGTAGAACTCGTGTAAGACAGCTCATCAGGTGCAATTCTGACAACTGAGCCATACTTTTCGTGGAGCTCGCGGATTTTCCAAGCGAGGTTGCCCTGAAGGTTGACAATGTTCCACGGTAGTCGAGAAGCGGCCCAAAGTCGAGGCCCAGGGTAGCGGCTTAAAGGATGGAAATAAATGTTATAGATGGTTCGAGATGCAACAAAAGCTAAAAACTACGCACTGTCAACAAATGCAAGAATGCAGCAGTAGAAGTCCTGGTCAACTAACAAAAAAGCTGATAAGGAGTAGTACCAGCCCAATATGGGAGGCGCAGAGCGCATCGTAACCGTGGATCAATTGCATGAAGGCTTTCTCTCGTAGAGGAAGAGATATCTCCCTTTCAGTTGAGAACCAATGTTAACTGACACTGAATGCAATAGTCCCTTGGCATTGCCAAGACTCGTGGCACAGGAATGCTTTTTATTCTCACCATCAAAAAGCTGTTATGGTACATCATGAGTCAGGAGACACTTTCAGCTGAACGAACAGTGAGGCTGCCTTGTAGAACGTGGGCGGCTCCTGGGTTTTGATTCATTGCATAAACCATAATCATCCCTGCAGTGGGTCCGCAACTATTGGCTTCATTGTGGTTTTGGTGACGATTACGGACACAACAGTTGCAATACATTAAATCTAACAATTATCTCAGTCTATGGGTATCATTTTTCCTCATCTTCCTCAAAGAAGTGCACGACTGATGGTGCGAAAGTGGCGTTGCCATTAACGTTTCCTCCGTACTGCAAATATCCAGCCGCATCAACAGCGGGAATGCCGGTAATGTCTTGGTAATCTCCCATGACCCAAACACTCTGCATGCCCATAACCATGTGTTGCAAAATATGACAGTGAATCTAGGCTTTGGTCAGCTCATGTCTAGCAAGTCTTGTGGAAATGAAGCAGACTTGCCATCCATACACCGGCGTCCTCCACACGCAGACGCCAGCCTCTCCACCCGGAAACATCGCCAGACTTTGTCTTCTCGCCATATCGATAAAGGTTTGTTGTGTCTCGCTTGACTGGATTGTAGTTCTTCAGCCGCTCCTCGTTCTCGGTGCTATTGTAAGTTCCATTTCCACTGCCAATGTCCCAGTAATGTCCGCCATGAGCATGAAAGGGATGGAAGTCGAGGCCACCATTGCCATTGACCAGTGATCCAGTGTTGTGCCAAATAATCTCGAGAACCTTGGATCATGTCAACTCAATATTCTATTGAGTGAAACAGAACAGCATCAAACACTCACCTCGCCCATCTTTGCCGGCCATGTCAACGTAATCGGATCCCAGCCGTTGTTGTTCATGGCGGCAGTGTAGTTCGGAATGGCAGACGGCCCGTTCTCGTAGATGTTGATCAGGTAGGGCTGGTCTCCCGCATAAGGCGTCGAAGTCTCGTTCCATTGCAGTCCGTTGAGCTGCCAAAGGGTAGTCTGGGTCGCGAGTTGACGATTGTCGATGTGAATTTGCCGAGTTACTTCGCTAGCCTGGGGGAAATTGTTTGGTACCAACGGTTCCAAGGCATACTCTGCCCATTCATACGTCTTGTTAGAAAGTGTCAGAGGAGGAGTGACTGGAGCTGTTGTAATCTGCGGTTGTGCCTTGGAGTATCGTAGTACGCCATAGCCCTGGTACACCTTCGGACGGTCTTTGGTCTCCAACTGAATAAGGTAGTCGGTTTTCCCGTTTAACTCTGCCTCGGTCTTAGTCTTGAAGATGACATCAAAACGCTGACCCGAAGTCAATTGCATGAACTTCTCAGTGTGAGGTTTGGTATAGTGACCATCAGCTTCGATGATGGTAAAGTTGTCATGATCCACGATGCCTACTTGCACCATGGACAATGCCGTAGCACCAATGAAGCGCATGCGATAAGTTTTTCCAGGCTCCACGTCGATGACTGGTAGCTTGCAGTTTCCATTTCCGGCAGTCTCCCCAACAGAGACTCCGACGCCGTTGATGAGGACCGCATTCGTTTCGCCAGACCAGGTGAAAGGTGTTGCCACGAGACCCTTCTCGATAACGGTGTCCGTTTTGTTGAAGTAGTCGGTGAGGAAGACAATCCTCTCCTCATCATATGCATAGGGGGGCTCGGCCTTGTCCTCAATGATCAGTGGGCCAGAAGCTGTCATAGCTTGGAAGCCGACATGAGAATGGTAGAAGTAGGTACCGGATTCGGATCGTAGGGGGTAGACCTCGTAGTCGAAGAAATGATCAGGTGGAATAGGCCACTGGGTGGCGGATGGGCTACCATCAGAGAAAGGTGCCATGCGCATGCTCAAACCATGCCAGTGGATGGTTGCATTATGGTCTGGCATATCGTTGTAGACTCTGATCCAACTTCTTCGCCCAGGCTTGAGTCTGAGCGTCGGCCCGAACAATGTGCCATTGATCAGGGCCGACATTCTTGTCTGGCAACCAATTGAGACGTTTTCGTAAGTCATTTTCAACACAAAGTCCGGCGTAAAGCTGGCACCATGCTTCTGTCGACCTCCATAGTGACCTGGGGGCCCGTGATCCGACTTGCGCGGGCCCCAAGCAGAGACCTGCGTAAGCAGGGCAAAGAAACAAAGTACCGAAACGAACGACTGCATCATGGTCAATGAACGCACAGAGGAAAGAGGAGGGTGTGGGAGCCGAGTACGTCGAGCAGAATCTGGCAAAGGGCCTCACTTTAGATGTATGCTCACGAACCCCCTTACTCGGCGCCCTGTCTCAGAGCAAAGATGAGGGAATGCCATCATTGAGTTAGCCTTCTGCGCTACCCATTCCAACATCACCGTGGGCATTCGTAGCCCCTCTTCGTTCATTCCACTAATAAAGTTACCGTTGCGTTCACCCGCCGAAGCGTTGGCTTCGTTCCTCGTCGGCGGTACACGCACACGTTGTCGGCACTGCAGGTCAAGCGGCCCTGTGCCGGTTTAGCCCCGCGATGCAAACCTAAAATGTGATTGTTTCCAATCGGAACTCCCTAGTGCTGCGAATGCGAAGAGAGTGGGCTTGAGTAGCGTTGTTGGCTTTGGAATAGACTTTGGTTGATCCTTGTACTTATTTCAAATTCCAATTAAGCCTGTTTCTTTGTTTGATGGTTGTTCCCGAAAGTCCGTCTCGAAGCTATGTTCTGCATTCGGCCACCTCGTGTCCGGAGTTCTCGGACTTGAAGTCAAGGGTCTCTTGAGATCTGCGGGCGCTTATTAGATTAGCGTCCGCCCTAGCAGGCCAGCTCACCTGCAACTGCACGCCAAAGGGATTCAACAAGTCCTATAAGGTTTGATTCGACTACGGCGTAGGCCGACCCCAGATTAGGTTCAAATGAAGAGTACCAAAAAATCACATATCAAGAGTCATGCTCGCTTGCTAACCTCTGTCATAATCCGACAAAAGTCGATGATCATTTTGACACATCGCCTTCGCCGACGTTGGAAAGCACCTAGCGTCTCTGGCTCTGGATTGAGGTGGATAATTCTGAATATTTACGGGAATATGCAGTTGGCCATACTTTCATCTGACTCGAGTGAGCGCGGAGACTCCAACAATATTACAAGCCACCCGGAATCAATCTTGCCTAATACGATGGAACTCGTCGAGAATACTAGGGAATTGCATTCGATCAGAGATGACTTCGACGAGCCGAATCACGGATCCTTCTTGATCAAGGGTTTACACCTTGCCATGTACTTCGAATTGCCTGCCGAGAGGGGAGAATTGACAAAGAGGATAGAATGGACAGCTGCAAAGTGGCCACTTCCATACTTAGTTGGCTGAAGACAACTTTGAGGAAGAGGTGAGAATACGGCATGCATGCATTCCTGATAACAGACATGCCTCAATTTCACCAACCCTTCCTAAACCCCCAGCTGTTAGATAAGCAGTCGGCACCACAAATCTATGCAAAGGGGAGCCGAGCCTGCTCGGTGGAAAAGTGATGTTACCAAATAGCAGCCGGCTATCAGAAGGTTCCACGGCTCAAGACTGAAAGTATCATTTTAATCCACAATTTGATGCAATATGTGTTAGTTTCCTGTTGAGTCAAGGTCGCCTAATTGGGCCTTGAGGGATCCAGCCAACCTAGTGACCTTGTCAACGGGCCTCTACACATCGGAAAGCGATTCATGACGCACTTGAATCTCGAATTACACAAATATGTATGCAACAGACCATCCTCGCAAGTACTTAATAGATTACCGTGTGGCTCAGGAATCTGACTTGAAAAACACGCACATTGTGGTTAAAAGAGGTCGATCCCATTCATGAACTCTCGGATGTGGAAAGTTTCAATAATGCCAGGAGGTTAACTGGAGACAGAAAGGGTCTGTGACCATTCTGAAATAGACAACTACGCTACTTCAGTCACATAACCTCTCAGGAATCTGCTCTAGTATAGTACAATGGACTTTGGCTGATAGAAAGCTTTACATGAAGACGTATTTACAAGAACCAATGATGACATGTTAGGATATGGCAGTATCTTGTTCATACTGCCACACTTGGAGAAGTATATCAGCCTGCACAAGTTGACTGAGGAGTGAGCAGTGTCTCCCTACGTGTTAGCTGGTCTCAACGTCTGCGGTCTCTTGGTCTTAAACGCTAAGAGTGTGGTTGTAAGCCTACTATAAATTAACGACAGGACTTTGACAGTATTCACAATAGTGAGGCTTATGTAATAAATATGGGTTGGAAGATTGATTTTAGCTTCGCCTATGTTTTCAAGGCGAAGGCGGTGAGAATTTACCGATCTCAAGATCTCAAATCTGTTCAGGCAGTACCTGGACAGTTTGGCAACCGCTTAGTAATGAAGTACTGTGAATGGTGCCGTTCAGGCGCTCGCGCCTCGCGTTTAGTGCAATGTGTCCGAGAACACGACGTTAGCGCCTCGCCACCTCACATTTCGGGAGGAATACTACGCAAAGATGCAGAGACCCGCTGTATTGGCGTGAAAGCGAAAATCACACTGCTCCAAATGTCAAGTGATGGTTTTCTGAAGAGAATGTGGTCCGATTCAAAGCTACCTTATGGAGTATCAAGTGAGAGCGTCCGCTTTGAGATGCGGGAGCAGCCGCGTCACTAGCGAGAACTTTGTCAAATGTAGCATGAACACTAGGAACAAGCTGTCCGTATATCGCAACGGCCTTTTCAGGGTAGAAGCAGGTATCAAGGGTCCGGTGGCGTATTACGTAGGAAGATTACTCACAGCGCCGTTCGTAACACCGAGTCGCCAAAGGAGCTCAAGGTATCCCGAGCGCAAGCCCGAAAGATCACCAGTGCCAAGATCTTAGTCTTCATGTCCAAGTTGGGCTACTGATCTCTGTAAGCATTGTCGCCTCGCGTCTTTCCCACCAATACGCGAGCTTTGGTACCCGGATAACACCTCATGTGCAAGTTGGATAACGCTACGCGCAGCGGCTCAACTGGAATATCAATTAGCCATAAGCACTCTTAAGCTTGTGATTGGATGCTTAGTTGCCCAACCGTTATATCAAGTTGCAAGGGGCCCCTCGGTTCCACGTAGCGGCTGTTCTGGCACTTCACGATGAGTGTCTCAGTCGGGGGAATACGCCTTCAACCATGAACAATCACTCCGTGTCTTTGCTCGGTCGCCAAGCCTGGTCAGCAAATGTATCCATACGTGCTTTCAACAACCAACCAAAATCTTCAATCGTCGTTCAGTCCATCCCCACGCGTTGCGAATGGTCCATATTTGTTACTACACGATGCATGGTTTCCATTCATGCTTCATAAGCAAATGGTGACATCGTGAATGATCATAGACTTATGAGCACGTATTTATAAGAGGCCCAAGAGCCATCTGTTCCTGGTTGCGAAGTTTTTCCAGGTACAAGTGATCAATCACATTTTACGCGATGACGGTCAACAAATCAAAAGTCACTCAACATGCTTCAGAAAGCAATCCTCTCATTCTCATGGCGGCCTTCCCCGGAGAAGGTCATACCAACCCGCTCCTTGTCATCGCAGCATACCTCGTCAAGAAGGGTTACGAAGTTGTGTTTGTTACAACTGAAGACTTCCGGAACAAAGTTGAAGAGGCGGGCGCCGAGTGGGTTCCTACCAACAGCCCTATGACCAACACGACCTACCAAGCCCTCCGCGAAGCAGCTTCTTTGCCGATTGGTCCGGAGCGGTTCGCTGCGCAGATCAAAGCTGTTTTCTTGGAGACACTTCCTCCACGAACGCTAAAGATGGAGGAGGTTCTTTCCCAATTACAAGCACGGAATCCAGACCGCCAGATCATTGTTGTCGAAGACATTTTCAACTGGTCGCTCTTTCCTTTCAGACATGGCCGTCCTCTGCCTCAAGGCTTCAATACGGCGCCCAAGTCTATTGGCATCGGTGTGGCAGCTTTTATGATGGAAAGTCAAGACACGGGACCAGTCTCGCTTGGCTTGCCCGCTGACGCCACCGACTCAGGGCGTCAGCGCAATGCGGTTCTCCAACAGTTGGTTGAGCGAGGCCCAATGAAACCTATGATCGATTCGTGGCAGCAGGCCATGAAGGATACTGGGTGTACGGCCATCCTAAAGACAAACATTTTCCGTTCATGCTACACGGCGCATGACTGTACGTTGCAGCTTTGCTCTCCCAGCCTTGAATACAACATTTCGGACTTACCACCATCTGTGGAATTCGCAGGTGTCTTGCCTCGTAAGTCCGCTGCTCCAAGCTTTCAGTATCCTTCATGGTGGTCAGAGGTCAAGAGAGCTCAGAAAGACAATCAATACCGGCATGTGGTCTTCGTCTCCCAAGGTACTGTCAATATGGATTACTCCGAACTCGTTCTTCCAACAATCGAAGCCTTCTCTGAAACTGAAGACATCCTCGTTGTTGCAACCTTGGGTGGCCGTGGCGCTCAACTCCCTCATGGCTTTGTCGTTCCCTCGAACGCTAGGGTCGTGGACTATATGCCTTACGACATTATGCTTGAGTATACCGATGTATTTGTCTCCAACGGGGGATATGGCGCCTTAACACATGCTGTGAGGAACGGTGTTCCCATTGTACTAGCAGGAGAAAGCGAGGAGAAGATTGAAGTTACTATGCGGGCAGTTTACGCTGGCCTTGGCGTCAGTCTATCGACCCAGAGGCCTTCGACAGATCAAATCAGGCTTGGAGTTGACCGTATTTTCCAAGATACCAAGTTCAAAAAGGCGGCAATGAAGCTAAAACATGAGAATGATGGCATGGATGCATTAGCAGCGGTGGAAAGAAAGGTTCGTGCACTCACATTGTGAGGCCCGAAGGAGTCAACCGGTGTACAACGTGACTTTCTCAGCTTTACCATTCAGAACAAAGATCCCCTCCACTTGATACAATCTATTATACTATCCGCAAACTCCTCTTCTCTTCTCAATAACAGCAATTAGCACGCCTTCTATCATGCCGAATTGATTGTCAGCCATATCGCCTTCAGCTATGTTGCGCTATATCTCAACACTAGCGACTAGATTTAGCCTCTTGTTTGCCTAGCTGCGTGCATCATTGAACCTTTTTGAAGTTCTGGCCTTGCCTGGTTTTTGCGTTTACGCCAGCTCGTCTTCTTTGAGAATCTCTTATGGTTGTTTTTGTGCTATTGCTAGCTATGCTATTTATACCGAGCCGATGCCTTGTGAAGTATCCCAGCGCACTGCACGCGCAAGCTTTGTCACTCCTTCTGTACATGTAGCACTATGGTGCAATTGCTCTAGATCCAAGCCCATTGCGGCGAGGGTCGGTCATAATACGGGCGCGAAGTTCTACTAGTATCTCGAGATCAGTCACTGTTGGTGTCGCTATTCTTTGTGCAAGACTTACGATGCAGCTAACGGACGCGTGACCCAACTGTGATTCGGAATTTATCCCGTTTCAGCTGGGCCATGATTAGTTTCCTCACGGCAGGTAAAACTCAAAAGCGGCGGATAGAAAATTTACCTGTACTGAGTACTGTCCCGGATAATTCGTGTCCAAGTATTCCTTGAGCTGGCTGGAGCTGACTTGAGATGCAGAAATAATGGCATTCTGGGTGCCATCCTGATTACATTGCCATTGAACCTTGCCGGAAGGTGTACGTCTTTGCTGCCAGGTCATGACGCTTACTCAAATTTGAGGTACGAAATCGACAAGGTGATTGTTCGAGGATCTAGTAGGGCGCGATTGAGAAAGCAGGCAGCCAGACGCCTTGCGCTACAGTCGTCGGAAGCGAAACTCCTATTTTAACCTGGAAATGGCCCGCGAAAAAGAGAATCGGCCGGGTGATCAGAGTGGCAAGAGTCGGCACATTGCTACCAATGAATAGTGATTAGTCACTTAATTGTGAGGTCAAGAGTCGTTCCCATGAGCTCCTCATCGAGGACCTACTCAACTTATGAGGATGTGGTCGTCTAGTCCCTGACCGCCACATCATTGTCACACGGGTCTCACTGGTCATGTTGTCCCACCAGATTCCCGGCCATCAACGCAGACAACCTTGGCTTGTTGATTGGGTATGAGACAAGGGTCGAGGCGGACCACGGGCGACCCAGCCCCTCGCCTTGAGGCTTTGACCGACTGAGCCGCAGTATTAGTGTGTTGTCAATGCATGTTGGTTACACTGCAGGCAATAAAAGCAAGGTTCGCAATCCCTCACTGTCATGGGTGCGCTCCTTACATACAATCTGGTTTGTTCGAACTTCGCTGCCATATCAAATTTCATCAAGTGGGCTGATTATTGGTGCTGCAAGCCATCGAATCCCGTGTCTTGCCGCGACAGTGCAGTGTTGCTCGTTGGAGCATCTTGCGCAGCGCGTTCTCAACAGGCTCATCTGGGGCATCGGAACTTCAAACCTTTCGACTATTCTCATGGTAGGAGTCGGATAATATGAATAATCTTTGAAAGTCCATTCTCATTGATTGCTCTTATGCTTTCTTTCATCTCGATTGAATCCCCAAAAGCATCAACGCCAGTCCCGAAGACTAGTTCGTCTACCCCCTCTAAACTCTTCGAGACACTCCCAAAGATCTAGGTACTCCGCCCATCCAGAACATATAGAAACGAGAGCCACTGCTCTCTTGACAGGTTGGAAAGCTCATCCCTTCCTATCGTATTACTTCCTTGCAGGCGATGTTGAGGCAGCCTGTGGGGGCTGTTGCTCGGCGTGAGGGATGAAGGTGGGCGGTGGGCCGAGGCCTCCTTAGGCATACACTTCGTCGGGCTTTCTCAGATGGAATAAGCAGGCTGTCTGACGGCACGTGTGGAATGCCAACTGCGGTTAAGTGCAAGACACAATAACCAGACCAATCACGATACTGCCCTCATCTTGCTGCGGCTTGTTGAGATCCTGGTGCGCGCCCCAGTGCCTTACTGCTTCTGCCTTATCAAGATGCCATCGCCATGTGCTCTCCGGCCGTTTCGCTGACCGAATTCTACATTAGATGCAAGGCCCGTCAACGAGGCTTTCCTAATAAGGCCAAGGATGTGTGACAGAGACTGGCAAGAAGATGGCAAGGCCAGCAAATCATGGTCCGAGGCACCACTCCATCAACTGGGGATATAGACTCTGAGAAAGGTACTTCAACTCTCACAGCCCATTTTCTGTGTACGATTGGCTTTAAGATCTGCTCCATCCCGGCCCCATTTCTCCATCTTGCGTGCATGTGGATTTCGCACTTCTTCACGTAGCGTCGCCTCGTGGAATTCCTCTACGCTGGCGCGACGTCTTTGCGCATCACATTTGATTGATAGGCAGTGGTTATAAGTTGCGAGAACCAGCTCTGAGGTCCGTCACTGAGCCACCATCTAGCAAAGGTACCAGTCGGACATCATTGGTAAGTTCACTGACCGGTGGGTTTTGGCTAAGAGCTGGACTCCCTAACATTGCATAGGTCAGACTACGTATTACTTGCATCATGGCAACCAAACCTCAAGAGGTTTTTAGGCTGCTGTTCCAACAAGGAAAGCTTGTATTGGATAATCCGCAGAAAGTCACACACATCCATGACAGAGGCGAGTCCTTTCGACTGAAGAGCGAACAACGAAATCCAGCAAGCCGAGGATCCATTGGGGCATCCAGGCGACCAGAAGAGTTTCGTTTCGAACACGATGTTATCAGAATCATTGCCGAAGAACTCGACGAAGCGGCTGCCATGGTGCCTGACCTTCTTGAACCGGACAAGGACTTTATACCAAGGCGCACATTTGAACAGATCATGACACACAGCCGAGTCTTATCTGCTGTTCATGTGCTCAAGTGCTTCAAAGGCGTACAGGACAAAGATCAGCTCGCCAGAGAAATCCAGTATGGTAGCGCAGATGGCTCCAAGTCGCCCTGTGTCAAGCTACTCGCAATTTTGATTGGAATTGACAAAGCCGAGGATATATCAAAACACATGTGGACTGATGAGCTGAGGGATAGCTGCCTGCCCCTTCGAAAGGTACCCAACGACAGACGTCGAACGCTTCAGTGCAGGAAGCACAAGGAACATCGCCTACTCAATAGCTATCGTCGACCAGAAGATCGTAATAGATTTTCCCAATGGACCTACTCCATGTGCTCTCCCTTCATCAAATGGGAGCATGGAACACATCAACATTACCTTCTAGATACGGGAGACGTCTTCCCGATGGAGGTTATGGCTAAGGTTGAGGAAGAAGAAAGAAAATCAGATTCTGGTGGGAATTCATACGGGGGCTTCAGCGAGGTATACAAAGTAAAGATTCACGAAGGTCATTCTGACTTTGGAGTACATGGGGTAAGTTACATTGTAGAGCAGACCTTGAGAAGGGCCTGGGTAGGGATCAAATTAACTAACAGTTTCACCCATCTAGATTCGGCATCCACAAGGCTACTTTGCGCTGAAGAAACTCACATCGCATAGTCGCGACAGTTTCAATCTCGAGTTGTCGTCACTAGTTTCCACTGCCCAGAACTATCAAAAGAAACACATCATACAGCTCCTGGCCACATTCGAGGTTAAGAATGCAGCGACAAGAGAATCAACATTCTATCTCTTGTTTGACTGGGCCGATGGAACACTGAACAAGTTTTGGCAGAGCAATGAAGCTCTAGTGAGAGATAAACGGCATTGCAAGTGGATGGCGACTCAATTTTATGAAGTTTCCGAAGCTCTTCGCTATGTTCACAACGATCGCGAACCAACTGTACGATATCTAGAAGACCGAGACTCCAACAAGCAACTGTATGGGCGCCATGGGGACATCAAGCCAGGTAAATTGACTACTCTTATCCCATTTCATACACGACTGACTGAAAGACTCTCTCCCAGGAAATTTCCTTTGGTTCAAATCGGATAGCTTTCCTGGTCTTTTGGCCTTGGCGGATTTCGGTCTCGGGCGACTGCACACTCAAGTTTCCCGCTCAAAACAAGACCCCAACAGCCTGGAAAGAACGGCAACGTATCGCTGCCCCGAATTTGACCTGGAATTTGGTCTCGTGTCACCAAGGTCGGATATCTTCAGCCTAGGATGTGTGTTCCTCGAATATGTCACCTGGTTTTTGCTCGGGCTCGAAGACGTGGAAAAAACCTTTCCCGATTTCAGACTGGAACAAGATAAACATGGTTTCGACTCTGATGTCTTTTTCTCAATCAAAGACAAGAAGGCTTATCTCAAGTCTTCGGTTACCAAATGGATAACGAAACTCAAGAACCACCGCGACTGTTCCTGGTACCTTTCGGACTTGCTTGACGTCATTCGAGACCGCATGCTAGATCCCGAGTCCACGACGAGAATCCCATCAAGCTTATTGAGCAAAAGGATGAACGAACTTTTGAAGGCTTGCACCGTCGACCCCGATTACTATCTCAAGCCTAAAAGCTAAGATTCGCGAAAGAGATGGCTGAGAAGCCCAGGCAACTTTCCCAAGACCCGGGAAGGTGAATGGATTAAATCTTTTCATGCTCAAGCTCAAACCCAGTAGCATGAGCTATCATTGAGCCCGCGTCAGACCACGAACTTTAGATTTCATCAATTACACGATTCAAAGAAGAAAGGTCAGGGCGTCCACACATGTCCGACCTTGAGACAACGTTTCAGTTCGAAAGGTCAGAATTTCCATATCCCGAGCTTGAAAGCCAACTACTAACTCAATCGCTGTAGTGGACTCTAATGCGCTGTTCGATCACTGCTAGCTCGCCCTCCAAACCCGAATACGTTAGTTCGTTAGTTCAACTTGTGGATTTACCAGGGGGTATATCAGACCTTTTCAAGTGGCTTGGGCAGCATGAGGATGAATCTGTTGGCTCTTTCCTGTTTGAAGCTATCGTCAGTAAATCATGTACCGGCCGTAAATGAGCATGTCTTATAGTAACAGCAGTGTACCTTGACTTTATAATTCCCTTGGCCATAGATAGAATCCAGTGATGTTTTCAACTTTGCAGAATCATGATATCTCGCTCTCATCCTCTCCTCGAACGGGAATTCTGATCCCGGCCCTGGTTTCGTTGTCGCTTGTGTTACTTGCGTACTACTCTTTTCAGGTTCTGCCTTCGGTTCTGATTCATCACCGCGGCCCCAGCTCTTGCGGAAGAAAGACATCCCGGGCTCTCGGTGCTTTATGATGTATTCTCCCTCAAGTGCCGAAAAGGTGTGCTTCATAGCAATTTGTATGAGAGGCTTGTTGGTTTTCGGTGTCCAAATTGAGGCGGGGGAAGAAGTGGTTGGAGACCTCAAAAGGCAAAAACGGCGGGGGCGGCATCCGAGCTAGCTTCAATGGCGGGTCTCTCTGTCTAGAGAGGATAGGATCATGCGTGCAGGTATCCAATCCTGATTTCGATGTCCGCCCGCCCTGTCTTGCATGATGCATGAGAAGAACCCAATGGCGGCCCGACAACACATACATGAACACTGCCTATCGCACCTCGAATCTGCCTGCATAGCTACACTAGGCAAAGAGGCTTTTCGGTTGCTGCAATGCGAGTAAGCCTACATAATACTGACTGGTCTTGGTCCCGGCCAGCGTAGTGTGGGCAGGGGGCATGGAGGCATACTAAACCAGCCAAAGGCGTCCTGCGAGGCAGGCTAGAGAGCAGGATGTCGAGAGAGGTTTGGAAGTGTAGAAACTATGAACGACGCTACGGAAACAGCTTCCATCTTAGAGCCGACTTTCGCATACTTATACATGTATCTCTCAAGGAAGTCGACATACACAGGGAATAATATCGACGCTGTCAGAGAAACCGTCGTTCGACACCATCAAGAAGGTCCTTACCTCTGACGGACCACGCATCTCAATACTCGCGGAGTTGAGAACCCAGGAGCTTGAAAGTCTTCTTGAATCAATACTCACTGACACATCAAGTTAAAAGGATGGATTTACCAATTGAGACAATGACATGGTCGGCGTCAGATCTTGGTTTCTTTGGATACTCCGAGCGAAAGGCTGTGGTGCTCACATCCCTAGACGGTGAGGAGGTTTGTGGCGACCTGTTACATAAAGCTCTCGGGGTGGCTTACACTCCATAGCCTACAAGCCAAGCCCTTTATACCAAAGAAGACTGGGAGCGATGGTTTAGCTCTGTAAGTTTGAAGCATTCTCCACCAGCCAAGCAGCAATGCTGACTACAAGTGCCAACAGTCACAAAGTAGCTCTCCTGACTGGAGGGACTTGAAGCCAGGATTGTGTGTGATGTGAGTCGAAAGTTCTTAGATACTGGGTATTCAAACGTTCTATTCTACATCACAAGCAGGCAATGCTACTATGGCATGATATACTGATTCCGAATAGCCTGTGTAGCAGGGCTCCTCCGATGTCCGAAGCACCCGGCAGAATACAATACCTCCCGTTTACAGGAAACACTTGGGAAAGAATCACTAGAGAGTTTCACGTATCTCGAAATATTAAACGAACGATAGCAAGACTGGTCCCGTGCTTCTCTTCCGCCCGTGAAGATGACGCGACGTCAGGTCATCTCAAGATGTGTTCGTTCCTCCTTCGCTACTGTCTACCTCAAGAGTCTGACACGTACTATAGCATTTTCTGCGCGCATGTCTTCAAGTCTGCCGGACGATCTAGCAATGTCTGCCACTTACATACCGAGTACCGGGACCACGTTCGCTGTGGTGTATGGTTGTAACGATGACCAGATGAGAAGCATTGAGTCAAAAGTGCGAAGAGCAGGCAAACAAGCCTTCCACCCACTCATGATGCCAGGGATATTCGAAGAGCTAGAGAGAGCGAGGTTGGTTGAGAGAGTCGAAGATCTGTTGGACGATTTCACACTTCGATCAGAGAAGCTCGAGACACATCCCTGGAGTCCAGACGCAGATACGGACGGCTCAAAGGCGCAACAGCATTTATCTCTCTGTGTTAAAAGCCAGAGTTTGATGGACCAAATTCGTATGGCAAAACGACAATTGACAAAGTTCTCAAAAGAGATTGACATCATAACGACAGAGCTCGAGTCTCTCAGCGGGGTTGAGTACATTCACAAGAGTGAGCCAAGAGCAACAGAGATGGCGAAAGTAGGAACAAAGATGAAGAATAGGGTGGACGACATCATGATAGAATACGACGATAAGATTGATGAGTGCCAGATGATGATTTGCAACACATCATTGGCAATGCAAACAGTAAGTCATCTTTCAGACGCGAGACTTGACTCCAAGAGTCAAAGGTAGTAATGACATCGGCAGGTCTGGAACCACATTGCAAGGCAAGACTCAAAGACCAACACCAAGATGTCAAAAGCGAATGCTGCCATTGCAGTACAAACAAAGGTCGAGAGCGCTCAGATGAGGACAATCGCGCTTCTGACAATGATATATCTCCCCCTATCTAGTGTTGCGGTAAGCCATTTATTGCAATTTGCTGAGACTTCTTTGCATGAGTTCCTCTGTAAGTACTAAATGAGGACAACCATAGGCTATATTTTCTATGGATATGTTCAACTGGGAGGCAGTTGAAGGTCAGTCTATGGTATCGAAACACATTTGGCTATTCGCAGTCCTTGCAGTTGGCCTCACACTGCTCACCCTTGCTGCATGGTTCTTGGGGACACGGCGAGAGAAGGCTATGGCGGATAAGTCGGACAACTACTTCAATTCACCGCAAAGACATGACACATTCGAGTATGTTTAAAGAGGGGGGTCACTCTGTCTGACTGAGATGAGGCAGGGGACTTGTTTAGGGCGAATCCTGGTTTCATCTGAAGAGGCGGCCACCACTGTAGGAATTTTCGACTGGATATTGTGGGCGTTCAATAATGTAGGTACACAGGCGGTCATATATCACTGAGATCCAAGGTTAACAGAAGTCGGCGTGGATATTATGAGCTACTTTGCTTCATACTCACTGGCGTGTAAATGATGAAGTTTTCACCCTATTATTCTAGAGGCTTTAGCTTTGGCGGTTACCGCACGTTCAACTACTTAATCACGTAATTTTTATGCGAACGCCACCTTTATGGATAGTTCAGCGAGACTTGAGCAGGGAAAAGGAAGATAAGTGTACATCTAGTATGGTTTCTTATGATTGAGTCTTTGGGTCTCAATGGCCCCTTTGCCCCAGGGCATGGAGAGGACAGAAATGGTTTGCATTCTCCTACTACCAACAAAAAGCTTAGGCGAGGCTCCGGCCTGACGAGTGACACTTGATGTGCGAAGGCAGAGGCTTTTCACCGGACGTACAGGAGCTTGTCATCCATTTCTCTTGATGATAATGATACCAGATACTTTACCTAGTCCATTTAGTCCACGGTGAAAATGTAGGCAAATCAATCATGTCGTGAGTCGTGTCGTAGGAGCAAGGATCACCAAGAGGAAGGTGAGGTTCATATTGGTTATCCAGTCTACAGGGGTTTCAATCCTCTTCAGATCATACAGTAACAAATGCAAGAGTTACATGGGTAAATCCAGGAACGGTGCGAATAAGATAGTCAGAAACCCTATTTGTATCCATATCCGTAGTGTTCAAAGGAGTGGAATTGACTGGCGTCTGAGCATTAAGTACGGATGCTTCAATGTTCAAAATCTTATACACCCCACATCTTGAGCCGTGAAGAGAAGAGGAACGGTCCGCAGACCTCCATGCTCAGTAAGAATGCTTGTTGTTACCTAAACAGCTCGTATTTCTAGGCTGCCATTTACGCAGTGTCATGACCAGCTGAAGCTAAAGTTCAACTGTTAGGTTGGGAAAGCAATAGCGTGATTCTTGGACGTCTTGCATCTACCTGCACTAAGCCAGATGAAGAGATGTAAAGAGGCGTGGCCGTGTGGGAGGGATTGGAGATGGTGCTGACAGACGCCGATCGGAGGCCGCGAATCGCGGCCCCTCACTCGTACAGGCCTGTTGACGATGCCGCGGAGCCGAAATGAGGGTGGAGCTGGCGCGTGAGGGAGTTGAATGATGGCCTGCAAAGGGGAAAATTGCGACCAGTGAGGATCGTGATGGTCCAAAGACAAATTTCCATACCTCGGAGAAGCGTCATTTGATGTGCGTTTGTATCCGTACATAGTCGGAAGTAGGGATTGCTACTACACTGCTCAATGGAATCCTCCTCTTCCGTTATGCTCATGAAAGTCTGGATAGTGAGTGAGTGAGTGAATGAGTGAGTGACATGGAAGTGAGTGAGCAACGGAGATTTGAGTGAGAGATGGCCGCTGACTAAAGCGCGTTATCAAGTGGATTGCGTAAGGGGACTCGACGAATTGTGGCTGATGGCGTGCGCCAAGTCGCCAGCCAACGCCTGCAAGCTGCTGCATGGACGGAAGTACCGAGGCAGAGTTAATGCTTGGTGAATCCAAGGACTAAACAGCCAGTTATTGTTGCTTGTCTGATGCCTACGGGCAGTGCGACATGGGTCGTTGGATACTCAGCAAGGTAGGTAGGTAAGTCTTCAGATATTGTAGCGAGCTATTCTTGATCTTCAAAATTTGACCCTTTTTCTGACTTGGCCTTTGCAAAGATTTCTGGGTGCGCAGCAGAAATAATAGACAGCAAGTCAGCAATAGGGGAACTTCCCAGTGGTGCGGATCCAATCGGTACAACGGCAGGGATGCAACGTGGAGTTTGGCAGTGGTGGCAGACCGCAGTGCATCACAACAGGACGGAAGGTGGGTGGTGCGGCGTGCCGTGAACAGTGGAACGATGCCTTTTTTGTGTGTGTGCGTGTGTGGGATGATGAGGGAAGATGTGGTGACGTGAACAGTACGAAGTAGAGCATCTAGTCCTGAGTGCAATGTGCATCATTCCATGCATTCCATCATGCATCAATTTGAAGGTTGTCAACAATGGAAGTTTATTTGGAATGGCAGATATTTCTTGCCAAGAGCTGAGGTGCTCCATTGAGAGAGGGGCCGCGGAAGGAATCAACGGGAAGGATGAGAAACCTCGAAGACCAGTCTCGGGGAGTCAGGAAAAAAAAAAAAGGAAAAAAAAAAAAAAAAAAAGAGGTGTCCGTGCTTTTAAACTTAGGTAAGCACGCAGCGTAAAAGGAAGGTAAGTGGGAAAATTAAATGGAACCTAGGTACTCCGTACCTACGGATACCAAAGGTAGCTTGTTTTTGTTGTGTCTGCTTGCTTGCTTGCTTGCTTGCCGCCTAGTAGAAATTTGGGAAGGAAGGAAATAAGAAAAAAAATAAAAGGTCGGCCGAAACGAGATGAGAAATGGGCCGTGCATCCGGTAGTGGTGATTTTGAATTTCTGATCATGAGCAGGGGAGCAAGGAGTTAATCCTAGTGTCACAGTGACTGTTACTGTTGGGAGCTCTAAAACCTCCTTCCATTTGGGCCTTGGCATTTACTGTGACTCCTTGGTTCGCAGCCCTGCACCTTGCGATCTTCGATGCTTGAGAGACGGGGCCCGCTAGGTACTCCATCCCCCTTGCCTCCTTGTCTTTCTGCAATTAGCAACTGGCACCACCGGGACCCTGTACGCGGTACATAACAATCTGATCATCACTGTTTGGCCGTGCAAACGACACATTTAACAAAATAATTCAAGTGATGTTTGTTTGCACTTTATTTACAACCTGCTTGTGTGTTGCTGTCATGGTCGTTGTTTCCACTGCTCACCCCAACTCCCCAAGTACCTTACCTTACAATCAGGTACGTTGGGTAAGGTAGGTAGCTGCATGCCAAGGTCCTTCCCATGGTAAAGGTACAAGCAAGGAGGGAGAGGCACAGCTGGCAGGTGCCGGAGCTACCCATGTCTGCCGCTTGCCCAGCCGGACCTTCTTCTTCGACCTCGACCGAGCACGTTCTTGCCCTGGCATCTGATACTGGATGCGGAACTTCTTTCCAGTTCCCTTCCATTTGGCGCTTGTCTTTGATATTCCCCCAACCTCAACCTGGAAGCTGCAACACTTGGAAATCGGCATCAATGTCTCACTCGCCCAACCTGGCCATCGTCATCCATTGAGTCTCTTCCCCAGCGGCATCACCTCCAGTGTTCCTGCAAAATGTCGGCCCAAAGCCATCCTACCTTACCTTAGTACTCCGTACGCCTGAACGATTGAGGGCAAATCCGCCATACCCCAACGGTTCACCACCACCGCTTCCTCCTGGCCAATGGCGCACGTCTTCCCATCGACGCTTCTGCATGAAAACGATGGATGAAGCAAACCAAAGCTGCGAAGCTGCTCTCTGCGTCGCCCCACCGGCAGTCCACCACCACCACCACTACCACTGCGTACAAAGTAGTGTATGAGGTCCAGACCAGGATGGCGCCGCATTGCCGGAACAGAAACATAGTTTCGAAGCCGTCGAGGGTTTGCGTCCCCACGCTGCCCTGCGACATGCGTCCTGCGCTTGCTTCCCCTTCCCCTGCACCCACTCCCGCTCAACAGGGCACCAAGCAAGCAAGTTGGCAACCACGCAAACACTGCGCGCGGCGCGCCCCCTTTGTCTACCGCCGATGGCACCGACCCAACCCATGCCGCCCTCGAGTCAAGCTGTCGCCATGTTGCGTCTGCCCTAGCATCTGCGGCTGCGCATACCTCGCCAGCCATTCCCACGTTCACGCCTAGGATACACTCTCCACCCGCACGCTACGCCTCTACGCCTCTACGCAACGACTGTACAAATACAGATCCGTACAGAGTGTACAAATGGTCTGTACAACTACGGAGCAGAAAGATTATGGGTCAATCTACATTGTGTAGCTCAGGTCCCCGTCTCTCTCACTCCCATGGTCCATCCATCCATGGGCCATCAGGTCTTGTCACTGGCCCCATGAGCTACCTCATGGACCATCCCTAATCGCACAATGCTGCTCCCAATTCGGAAGTGTCGTGTCCCCGGCCAACCTCTAGCGGTGGCCGTCATCGCCGTGGGCCGTGGGCCGTCGTGGATCATGGACCGTGGGTCGTCTGCTATGGAATTGTGGCTGCCTTTGGGGCAGGGCCGGACTGATGTTTGGTCTGCCCCCAAACTCGATCCCAAACTCTAAGCCCATTCCTCGAAGCCTTTTTCGTCCTGGTTCCTCCTCGCCGTCGTTCCAGACCTACACGCCTCCACGCCTTTCCCTTCCTGTGCTTCGTCAAGAACCCGCTACCATTCTTGTAATGCTTATCCCCCCATCTTCTTTCTTCTCCTGGTCTACCTTATTACCTTAGTTTAATCCTCAGTTTCCTCGACTTGCTCCCGAGTCCCCCCCTCCCCATCTCTGCCAAGGAGACCCGTTGGGCCTGTTCCCCTGCTCAGACAACGTCAGCTCGTCTTCAGTCCAAGCCCTGCAATCGTCGTCCGATCTTGGATCCTCTGACCGCGCATGTTCCAAACAAAACTCGAAAACGGCCAGACTTGACACCTTGCTTCTGCGTAGCTGCTGCAACATCCATTTTCGATCACGGCCAACGGGAATCTTTTTTGGACTTTTAATATCATCGTGAGTTTTGTCTTGGCATACGACTTTTGCATAGACTTACACAGTGATGCCCTTTAGAACCTACATATAGAAACATATTTGTATAACGGAGCCGACAACGACGAAGACGACGGATACGGCCACGATCCCTTCGAACCGAGCCTTGTTTCATTGGCGCGAACAAAAGTACCGCAATGCCGAAATCAGGGGAATTTGCCTTCGCTGAAGAGCGGTCTTCATCATCCGTAGAAGATTTTGACCTCGATGACGAACAC